TTAATGCCAGCCGTCGTGGCAGTTGTTGTTTTGAGAATGCTCAGTTAGGTCTTCCATGCGCTCATCCACCCCATCCTTACAATGTGTGTCCTTTCTGTCGTCAAGGACAGCCTCATTCTTGAGCTTTTTCTTGCCCTTTCCTTTGCCCTCTTTCTCATTCTACACTCCGTATTTTCCCTCTTCCATTCTTTGTTTGTCCTCTCCCTGTCTCTTTTCCCTGTGTTTAACACCTTCCCCTTCACTCTGCCTCTCTCACAGCGTGCAAGTGGGCTGTTATGGCATACGGGGATGGGGGCACCTCGCGCTCAACTTCATCAACGTGGCGAGCCTTGCACGTGAGAGGCACAGTGGAGGTGGAGTTCAAAGAAGAATGAGAAATTTAATGGTTTCAATCTGCCCTTGCTTTTTCTTTTTGTTTTTGTTTTTATTTTTGCAATGTGCCCGTTTTTTGTTTTTACTCTTTGTTTCGCAAAGTGCACTCTTTTAGCTTGTAGTTATGTGACAATATATGTATATATATCCCGGATCTGATTGACGCCATCAGTACGAATAGCCCGCAGGGTTTCTCAACCCACTGGCTAGGCCAGTTGTACTTTCGTTCTTCCGGGCTTGGCCACTCATACTTTTTCATTCTTGGGGATTTAGAGGGCCCAATGGCCTGCCTCTGATTGTCAGCTGCTTCCTCATACGAAAGGAACAGAGATGAGCAAGGTTGCTGCCAGACACTCACTTCCGAGGCTCCTAACGAGCCTCTGCCTAACCGAAACTGCCAGCTTATGTTGTGCAAGGCACTGCAAGCAAACCCCCCGTTTTGTTTGGCAAGAAATGGCTGAACTGCCCTGAAGATGTTGCCAAAATTCACAGTGACAAACTTTGAAGAACTCGCAAGAAAGTCTCATCAGTGACAATCGCACAGTGAAGTAGCACCACAACAGACTGAGGACAGCAGAAGCAAACACACGCACACAAAGAGGGAGAGGGAAAGAGAGTGCATTAAATGGTACACATACCAACGGACGTCCTTGAGACTTTCTCACAGTGAAGTAGCACCACAACAGGCTGAGGACAGCAGAAGCACACACACACACACACACACACACACACACACACACACAGAGGGAGAGGGAGAGGGAGAGGGAGAGGGAGAGAGAGAGAGAGAGAGTGCAATAAATGGTATACATACCGACGGACATCCTTGAGACTTTGCATGTTCCCGTTTGCCAAAACAGGAATGCTGAGAGACTGTTTGATGGCCTTGATAACATTCCAATCAGCAGGGATGAGAGCACACTTCTTTTGATCTCTTGTGCGTCCATGCACAGCCAGGAGAGAGCACCCCGACGACTCTAGCATCCGTGCATATGCTAAAGTGTCTTCAAGATTAGGAAAAATGCGAATCTTGCATGAAACAGGCACTGACACCTGCTCCACCAACGCCCTGACCAGGCGCTGCACAAGCGGTAAATCGTCCATCAGGAAGCTGCCATAGTTTCCCCTCCTCGCAATCCGCTGAGGGCACCTGCAAGAGTACGCCGAAAGGCCCAAAGCGCAATTGCGGGAACAAAGTCAAGCGATGCCCCATTTAGTTTTGCACAGAGCAATCTCCCTCCCTCACACTTTTCCTCTATGGTCAACCATACACAGCTGCAGTACTTCTTCCGTTTGGGTTACCATACGCCCAGGTTGGCAGATTGCATTAAAACACGAGAATACCTACCACCTTCCCCCGAATAGAACGTACACGTACACCGTACGGCAATTATAGCTGTCTCTAGAGTCGAGACTGAAGGTTGCCCCAGATATATAGCTATAATGACCGTACATTCTCTTCAGGGGAAGACCATCGCAGGAGTAGCATCTTCCTCCGAATATAAGGCATGTGTGTTGTTTTCGAGTTTTCGAAAATTTCCAAAATTCCGAATAGAACACATGCGTTGCATTCGAAAATAAGGGTTATTCAAACAGAACGCATATTTGTGGCATTCGAATAGAAAGCAACCTATGCGTCGTATTCATTTACAACCAGTGCTGGGCCGGCAACCGGCCGGTTGAGCTACCCCGGTCCAACCGGAGCCGGACCAGACCAGGGGGGGTGAACCGGGAAACTGGTTTTGAAAAAAAAGTGCCCAAATATCTTTTTTTTTTTTGGGGGGGGGGCAGATTCCAACTGCGCTCTTCAAGAGCTGTCCGAATCCGCAATAAAATTTTCAAGGTACAATATTTTTCAGGGGGCTTCCAGAGGGGGGCAGGGGATTATTATTGACATATTCAGGCAACTATGGCTTCCTCGGGGAGGGGTCAAGTAAGCAAGTTCACTTATCCGACCCCCCCGTGGCTGGAGCACTTCGTGGAGTATGTCATTTGATATTGATACCCACGAGCTGAACCAGATATATGATGAGAGGAGGTCCTTGCCCGAAATTATAGCTCTTCCAGAGTATATTTCAACAGCAGAAAAGTTATGGTTCCAGCTTTCTGCTCGTGGAGGCAGAGTGTTTTCTGTTTGTTGGTTTCTACATAAGGTGAGTTGTCAGTCCGGAAGTATCTTGCCTGGCAGTCTGTCCAGATACATRTAGTGGAGCAAGGTCCATTCGAGATAGATAGAGAGAAGAATATGGGCCTCGCTGCACTACTCTCGAAATGTGCAAAACGAGAGTGAATCTTCCGCTAGAATTCCGAAAGATACACCGCCAAGATTTTTGTCTTTTGTGCATGTCGAGAGTAGTGCAGCGACGCCCTATAGCTTAGGCCCATTCTTGGGATTGCACCTCGGACGGCTCTGAAATCACAATTCCAAAATCCGAACCTGTAACTTTTTTTCCACAGATGGCCGGGACGTCGCAGAAGGATATAATCTCAGCAGAGTCTCATCAGAAGCATAGTGTTCCCCTCGTGGCTGAGGGTGAAAGAGCATCAGATGTTGCCACTGGTAACTGGTCCATTGGACCACAAGATGACAAATTGGATTAGGGGCCTACCCGACCCACATCTTAGGGAAAATGCATGGCTGTTCTCCACTGCTGATCTGCACAGATCAGCGGCGGATATCCTCTGCCCGTTTTTCTTATAGAAATGGGATCATGGCCGATCTTTGCCGCTGATCTGCGACGATCGGCGGCCAAGATTGGCCACTTTCTGTACTTGAAAAATCCGGGCCTACAGGACCTGGTTTCGAAATTGCGGGGCAGGGCCCGCCCCCACGAGGCCTCTGGAACACATACACGCCGACAAAAAAAAAAATTCAGCCCCCAGCAAAAATGCACTGGGGGCAACTGGGAGGGAACCGGCCCGGGCCACCGGCCGGTCCAACCGGGAGGACCGCGGATGGGGTAGGGGTCCCCGGTCCATCCGCGGACCAGCCCTGTTTACAACGCATATGCCTCCTGTTCGGGGGAAGACCGTAGCAAGAGTAGCGTTACTACAACTCCCAGCGTCTGGCGGAATTGCAGTGGACGGCTATGCAACTGGCAAGTGAAAGCCACCTTTGGACATAGCAGCAGTAGCAAGAGGATGGGACCACAGAATGCGTAAAGCCAGCGCAAGGCAGAATGCCTTCCCCAGTGTCTGACTATCCTTTTGAAGTCTTGACCAGTGTTGACTGGCGTGGACCAGTCTCCCCTTTGACAGTGTCGACGCTCCAGATCCGCCCGATCTTGATGGCCTGGATGCAGCCTTGAAGCAGCGGTCCCATTTCCCAGTCGGGACTGGAATCTTCCGGATACTGGCAGACCACCATTGATGTACTGGGTTGACTTTGACTTTTAGTCTGCTTTCCCGTGCTTGAGTTGACTCTTGATTTTCCAAGGGTCAACTACTGCACCTGGGGCTTCCGGATGCTGTTTTTGGCCCTGCCCTGGGTACCTTTGACCTTAGGCCTTTACCCATTGGCAGGCGTTTCTCAGACTTAGGGGGCGACTCTTGACCCCCGTTTCAGCCCTCTTGACCCAAAGTGACGACATGTCGCCCGCAGCATGCAGATTTGGGCTGATTTATTGCAGTGCTATGAAGTGGTATGAACCTTCGCAGGTAAGTTTCAAAGATTGAGTCTGCCTGCCATTTGCAGTCACATTTACACAAGTTTTGTACACAGCATTTGCTCCCCCCCCCCCCCCCCCCCAGTACTATGAAGTGGTATGAACCTTCGCAGGTAAGTTTCAAAGATTGAGTCTGCCTGCCATTTGCAGTCACATTTACACAAGTTCTGTACACAGCATTTGCTCCCCACCCCACCCCTTAAACCACCAGTACATCCGGAGAATCACGAATGAGCCTCTCCAAAATGTTTGGGGACTTGGGACAGGGCCCGCCCGGAAGCAGGCAGAATTGTTTTTTTATCAGTGCTGTGCCTGCTCCCACCCCGAGGCATCGGACTTTTTTTTTTTGTTTCCACCTGCCCTTCGGAGGCCCGGTCCCCAGTCTCAGAAATTTTAGGAGAGGCTCAATCGCAATACTTGGATGGGGCCATGTACTGGCGGTTTAGACCACAAGTACACCATGGCCTGGCAGCACCAAAGTGTGTGCCAAGCTTTGCCGAACAACCAGCGGTGCACTTTTTTCCTTTTTTGGCTGCATAAGCGGTTAACAGGGACCCCTTCAGCCCTGGATAACCCCGTCGACCCTGAAAAGTGCATTGGAGATCTTTTTTTTTTAGTTTTTTCTATTTTTTTTTCTTTTTCCCTGTTTTATTTTTGGTCAAGGTCTGTGTGTGCCAAGTTTGGTGTTTGTTGGGGTCTTGGAGTTGACTGTTTTGGCTAGCCCTGAAAAATCCTGAAGATCCTGAAAACTGAAAAGACTGAATTTTGCATGAAAACACACTGTCGCCGTGCTGTTTTATAGGTTTTTAAAGTTTTTTTTTTGTAAGTAGTTAGTATGATCTCCACTCTATGAATTGGTGGCAAGTTTGGTTAAAATGATCCTTGGGTTTTGTTATAAATGCCCTGACAAGTGGTCTGAAAATTGAGGCCTCCGTTAACCGTCTCTTGGCACCGCCAGCCATTGTGCTCTGGTATCCCCAAGCCTCCGAAGTTATAGGAGTACGTGATCAAGAAATTTTGTAAAGCTGGGGCCGTCTACTGGCGGCTTAACCAAAACCGGCATTACACAGCAGGCCACATGGTCCTGGACCACCTCGGCCCTAAAATTGTGGTCCGGGACCTGAAATTGTGGCCTGTTGTGTACTGGCGGTTTAAACAAAACAGGCCTTGTGGTCCTGGACCCTTTCCATTCCCGGGAGTACCAGTCCAGTTCGTTTGCCTGGCAAATCCGAAACAGATACATGAGATACACCCTCACGCTTCCCCGTTAAGGCTGAAGGACCCCCTGAACAACAGTGATTGCCCCTTGAAAGGAGGATTGACCGTCAGGCTTGCCTTTTCCGCCTTCACTACTCTGCTCACCTGATAGAACGCCCTCTGAGTCTACGCATTGGTGAACTGCCTGATCTGCACTACAACTTCACCCCAAATAGAACGCCCGGTCATTATACCTCCATCTGGACAGGAAATTGCCCCAAATACGGCCATAATGACCGGGCGTTATATTCAGGTGAAGACAGTAGTTCGTAGGAGCCCAAGAACCATGCCAGTCCCTTTGGCAGACGTTTCTTGAGTTCTTCTCAGTCTATACGTGTACAGGGCTTGTACATGTACCGGGCTTGTCCATCTGCTTGAAGCTCTTCATTTTCTGGAGAGATCGGGGCGCTTTCTCTTGATGACTCCGAAATGTGCTGCCCTTCCCCTGTAGCTCCCTTGAGCCCCCTTTCTCTCCTTCTCTATATTGTCCATATTGGATTGTGGTCGTCATGGGAATTGTCGGCTATGCAGAGTAGTCACGCCGACGTTCGGCGCCCTTGGATTGGTCGGCTGTTCCACGCATTGGCACCTACCGGTCGCCGGTCGATCGACACCTGACAAAAAACAAAAAATAAAAATATGCAGGGTCCATAACCCCCAATGACCCCACCAACACCCGCACTCCCCTGCCAAACACCCCCATACCCCCCCCCATCACCTTCATACTCCCCCCATACCCCCCCCCATAACCCCCTATACACCCCTTATCCCCCCCCCCACCACCATGCCCAAAAGTTTCTCAGCGGATTTGGGCTGTACTCAGCAAGCACAGTACAGCCCCGACCTCAGATTTGAAAAAAAAAACAGCGGATGGTTCTCTAGAGTCTCTACAGACTGGTCGGCAGACCGCCACTGACCAACTGGTAGGCGGTCGGTGGGTATGCAGCCCTGCTGTTTTGGGAATTTGTCTGTTCTTGATCTGCCCGAGAGTTGTGCCAGTTCTTCCATCGCAGATACAGCCCACTGATTGTAGCCACCTTGCCCTCGGCCAGCCACTTGGCCTGGACCTTTGCCTTGATTTTTTTCTCGTCGTCCACCCTCGATTGTGTTCCAGCTTCCTTGCGCTAGCCTGAGACAGGCCAGCACTGTAGAGAGGTTGACTTGGCATGTGACATTGTGTCTAGATTGGCGGTGAAGGTGTGGGGAGATACAAGCCACTAGATGCACTGAGGTCGTGAGAACAGATCCCGCAGAAGAAGCGGGAGAGGCAGTCTGAACATTCTATTCATCGTTTCTATTTCTAAGATAATTCCACGCGTTTGCTCTTTCTTCTTCACACTGTCTTGTTGCTCATTGCCATCTCGCTTTGTTCATTATTGTTGAGTTGAGCCTTGTTGTGAGTTTGAGTTGAGATTCGATTGTGAGTTTTTGAAGTTGGATTCATTACACACAAGTTGAGAAGGTTGTCCCCAATCAACCGCCAGAAATTTTCCCAGAATTTTCCTGTTAGTCCATCGATCCCCGATTCCCCGGGGTCTTGTCGTCATGCATGTGCTGAACCGTAAACCATAGTTGTCAATTTTTTGTTTGGATAGCGGTTTGCCTAACTCCTGTGCTCGGTCGTCTGATATTTTGATGGGTCTAGGAATCGTACCATTTTCGCTCTAGGTGTTTTATGTTGCAGCAGAGTTGGTGCCGGTGGTTTTTATCTGTATATAACTCTTCGTAGAACTCCTTATTAGCAGTATCTTCAGCATACCTTCCACCATGTTTTTTTTTTGTTTGTTTGTTAGTGAAGTGCAGATGCTCAATTATCAGCCTTGAAAGTGGACGCAAAATGAGTGGCTTGCTGCTTTCAGGCCGAAACATCAAACGGTGGGCCTGCCGTTGATAAATTGCATCAGCGGTCGCTTTTTCGATTTCCGCCTCCGGAATTCAATGTGTCAGGCCCGCGGCCCAGGAAGCCGTATACTGGTGCTTTAAGGCATTCAATGAGCGACCTTATCTGACGAGGGGGCACTAGTGGACAGCTGTAGGAGAGAGGATATAGATTTTTTCTATTCGAGTGAAGGTAAGGTAACATTGGTTGGGTAGCCAGAGGGGATCGACGACTTGGTTGGGCAGACACAGGGGGTCTACATAGTGCAGCAACGTGTAGACGTGTAGATTCGTTGTTGTTGCTTTTTCAGTAGATTCTTTGCTTTTTGTCTTTTTCTAAGCTCCCGATAGTGCCACGACGTGTAGACATGTAGATTCGTTGTTTGCTTTTTTCGGTAGATTCGTTTTTCTTTTGGAGGGGCGCGGTGTTTCTGCTACTTTCGGTCCCCTGTCCACGTGATTCGTGAGTCACTTTGGCACTTGTCAACAAATAAGCAAAATGAGAATGAATTTCCGCTAGAACATGGGAAGATACACCGCCATATTTCCTGTCGTTTGTGCATGTGGTGAGTACGAAAATGTTGCGGTGTATCTTCACATGTTCTAGGGTTCATTTTCATTTTGCTCACTTGGTGAGTAGTGCGCCGAGGCCCGGAAGTATATCGTGGGAAGACCTCTTTTTTTAATCATGGGCAGACTTCCGCTAGAACATGGGAAGATACACCGCCATATTTCCTGTCGTTTGTGAATAGGGAAG